GACCTCGACCATTCTTTTAATGGCCTTTGGAAGCCTAGGGGATACTTACCTCTTAAAAACACAACTTTTCAATTTTTTGGGGGTAACATGGGCTATATGTCTGTAAAAGATTAACTTCCCCAGGGCTTGGAGTTTTAAGGGGTAAGGATACTAGCAGCTGTTGCACCGGTAGGAATTGCACTGGCCGAGTCATCACTGCTTCGAACATCATGCGGGCGGGGCCCGTCCCCCCCCCCGCCTCTCCGCCGGGTTCTGTTTTGTTGACAGTCGATCAGGCCACTCATGTAAAAGGACTTGCGGGTTCGCCCAGAGGTGCTTCACTATATTCCTTACAACCATCAAAACCCCCCAGCTGTTTTTCGATACTTATATAGATACGAGTAGCAGTTGCACCAGTACTCGTGGGGCTGCCGCCCCCAGCCCCGCTGGTTTTTTGATGGTATAGATACGAGTGGGAGTTGCGCCGGTAGACACACCTTACGGAGAAGCTCGCCCTTTACCGAATCATCACTGCTTCGAACTCCCTTCGCTAGTGTTTTGTTTTTCTTTTTTATAGATTAGCATTTGGTCCGTTGGACGCACCTAAGCGAGCAGCGCACTCTTTGCCGCATAATCACTGCTTCGAACATCCTGTTGGGGGGGTTGCCGCCCCCCCCCGCCCCCCAACCAGTGGATTGCTTTTCATCTACATAAGCAGTTGCGCCAGCGGATGCACCCAAGGGGGAAGTGCATTCATAAGCGCGCCGAATGACCATTGCTTCGAAACATCCTGGGGGAGGCTACCCCCCCCCCCCTCCCGCTGTCCTTTGTGATGTTCATACGAGTAGGCAATGCGACGGTAGATCTTTGGAGAAGCACCCACCTAAGGGAGCAGTGCGCTCTTCGCCGAATAATCACTGCAAACCCCCTGCCAGTGGTTTACATGGATACGAGTAGCTGTCGCCCTCTTGGCCGCATCTTCGATCATCATGCCGGCGGGGCCCGCGCCGCCCCGTGTTCTGTTCGACCGCCGCAGACCCGAGTAGCACCTGCACATGCCGAATTATGATTGTTCATAGCGGGGGCAGCTCTCCATGATGTTCGAAGCAGTGTTTAGGCGCATCCAGCAGCGCAGTCATGATCCCCTCGTTGGTTTTTCAATTGCCGGTGGATGCACCTTACGGCGGAAGCTTGCCCTTTGCGGAACCATGGCTGCTTCGAACGCCCCCCTCCCTGGCTGCGCACTCACTCACTCACTCACTCACTCACTCACTCACTCACTCACTCACTCACTCATTCACTCACCCACTCACCCAGCCACTCCCTCACTCATTCACTCACTCCCTTCCTCGCTCCCTCACTCACTCACTCACTCACTCCCTCACTCCCTACTCACTCCCCCACTCCCTCACTCACTCCCTCGCTCGCTCGCTCACGCACGCACGCACACACGCACTCACTCACTCACTCACTCACTCACTCACTCACTCACTCACTCACTCACTCACTCACGCACGCACGCACGCACGCACGCACGCACGCACCCACGCACGCCACACGCTTAGGCCCAAGCCACCCCGTTGCCCTGGCGTGACACGCCGCTTTCTTTGCCGCCGGCCCTGTCTCAGATCCTGCCTCGGCCTCTGTTGCTACGCACGCATGTCGGGCTGTGTGGTTGTTACCGTTCAGTGAAATGTTCTTTGTCTTTTGTCAATTTCTGTTTATTCTGATTTCAAGGTTTGCTCTGGGACCTCTTGCGAAGCTCCAGCAGCGCATCGCGCACAGTGACGGAGAAGCCGAGCACGGTGAGATCGCGGACGCCGGCTTAGAAAGCTTGTTTAAAACCGCATTGCAGGACAAATGAGAATGGGAATTAGGTCTTTTTTACCCTTCCCTGCAGGAGGAAACGCATCAGGCGCCGATCCGTGTGTTGAAGGCCACGCCGAAATGCGGGTGGCAGTGGTATCCGACGCCCCCGCAAAGCTGGGAGTAAGAAAGGTAGGCGACGCGTGCTGCTCGGAGTACATAAGCCGCCTTTGTGTGAGCATGACCACGCCGCTTCCTTTGCTTCGTTCGTGATTCTGTTCGTGGCTTTTGGGCGTTGCTGTCCTGCGCAGGACATGTGCGATCAGAGCTTGGCCCGGTGTCCTGAAGTTGATGGTGCTGGGCTGACATACATTCACACCGTGCGGCTGGAGAAACGCGCTCCGACATCGAAGAAGTCGAGGGTCGGGGTTCAGCCACTCAATGCATCAACCAAAATCACCCTCACTCTTGACTCACTCACTCACGAGCTCCCTCCCTCCCTCTCTCCCTCACACACTCACTCACTCACTCACTCACCCACCCACCCACTCACTCACTCACTCACTCACTCACTCACGCACGCACGCACGCACGCACGCACGCACGCACGCACGCACGCACGCACGCACGCACGCACGCACGCACGCACGCGCTCACACTCACTCACCCACTCACTCACTCACTCACTCACTCACTCACTCACTCACTCACTCACTTCCTCCCTCCCTCACCACTCACTCACGCACGCACGCACGCACGCACGCTCACACTCACTCACTCACTCACTCACTCACTACTCACACTCACTCACTCACTCACTCTCACTACTCACCACTCAATTACTCACTCACACACTCTCACTCACTCACTCACTCACTCACTCACTACTCACTCACTCACTCACACTCACTCACTCACTCACTCCTCACTCCTCGCGCACTACGCACACGCCCTCACTCACTCACTCCTCTCCCCCTCACTCACTCACTCTCACTCTCACTCACTACTCACTCACTCTCTCACTCACTCACTCACTCACTCACTCACTCACGCACTCCCTCACTCACTCACTCCCTCACTCACTCTCTCCCTCACTCACTCACTCACTCACTCACTCAGCCCCCCCTGACTCACTCGCTCGCTCGCTCATGGCGTGTAACTGCAACGGATGTTTATGTTTGCTGGGGTTGATCGACATGTTGCCGAAAAGATGCAAACTGAAATTGCATAACTCATGCTTCTCAAATTTCTCCACATGGACTGCATCGGTAGAAAAACCAATCGTAATTGTCTTCAGGCCTGCACTCGCTCGATGATCGCTCACTCACTTCACTTCAGTGCGAGTGAGCGAGCGAGTGAGTGCTGCCGAAGCCTTCCAACAAGAAGTTCACGCGGTAGCCCAAGGGCGGGGCCCGGGTTTAAGAGCGCGAGCCTGTTCTACGCGTTTCTGCCAAAATGACGACGGAGAGCAATCACATGCTGCTTATGATCCAAGTCCTTCGACGCCGCTCCTCGTTGCTTGAGCAATGTGTTGGAGGCACTCGAGAAGAACCCACCGCTCTTGGGCTTGAGCAGTGCATTCACTGTGCGGCTTCATGTTGAGTGCTCATGGCTGGTGAGCGCAGCTCGTGTTCAGGCCTCGGGCCAAGAGTTGCTGTAATGCAGAACCAGAGCAGAGTTGCACCTTGGCACTTGGCAAAAGGCTGTGGCACTCCTGCAATTTTGGGCTTTGAAGGTCACCAACCCCCCGTTTTGCTTCGTATCTAGATAAGCAGTTGCGCCGGTGGATGCACCTAAGAGAGAAGCAAATTTAAAAGCACGCCAAATGACCATTGATTCGAGACATGCTTGGGGGCAGCCCCCCCCCCTCCAACCCCTTTGGTGGCTTTTTGATGTTTGTATAGATGCAAGTAGAAGATGCGACGGTAGATGCACCTTACGGAGAAGCACGCCCTCCGCCGAATCATCACTGATCCGAACTCCCCTTGCTAGTGTCTATATTTTAAAAAAACTAGCAGTTGATCTGTTGGATGCACCTAAGAGAGCAGCGCACTCTCTGGCGAATAGCCAATGCTTCGAACATGCTGGGGGGGGGAAGGGGGGCGGCAATGCCAGTGTTTCGTCATGTGTATATAGATACCAGTAGAGGTCGCACCGGTAGATGCACGTATCGGAGAATTGCACCGGGCGGGGCCCGCTCCCCTTGTCTCGCCTCCCTCTGCTTTCTTGACAGTCGACCTCAGGGCACTCGTAAAAAACTTGCAACTTCGCCCTACAGGTGTTTCACTATATTTCATTGTAACCAGGTGTTTTGCCTCGAAACATCAACACCTCCCCCCGCTGTTTTTCAACTTTATATAGACAAGCGTAGCGTTTGCGCCAGTACTCGCGGGGCTGCCCCCACCCCCCCCCCCCCCGATGGATTTTTTGATTGTCATATAGACACGAGTTCTTTGTAAGGTGCATCTACCGGTGCAACTGCTACTCGTATCTATATTAAACATCATGGGCGGGGGGGGCTGTCCCCGCTGGTTTTTTGCACACTGCACCCCCCCCAACACCCCCCCAACCCCCTTGCTGACAAAGCTGATGACAGGCCTGTGGGTTGTGTGCCACGGCCCACAGGCGCACAGACACAAAGACACACAAAGACGCACAGACACGCACAGACACACACAGACACACAAACACACAGACACACACACACACACACAGACACACAGACACAAAGGCACACAGGCACACAGGCACACAGGCACAAAGACACACAGGCACACAGGCACACCGGCATACAGCCACACAGGCACACAGACACACAGACACACAGACGCACAGACACACAAACAAAGAAGAACAGACACACAAAGACACACACACACAGAAATGCACACATAAAGACACATAAGCATAAAGACACACAGACACCGCACACACACACAAAGACACACAAAGACACACAAAGCACAAACACAGACACAAACACAAACATGAATATCACAAGCAAAACACAAACATAAATAGCACAAGCACACGCACACACACACACAAAAACACAAGCACAAACAATCAAACACAAACAGCAAAACACACACCCCAACAAAAAAACGCACAGAAACACAAACAAACACAAACACACACAGACACACAAACACAAAGACGCAAACACACAGACACACACACACACACACCGAAACACCTCCAGTCAGTTGTCGCAGGACGAGTGCTTTGGCGAGGACGCAGTGCTGTCGGTGGTGCACGACACGGAGAACCATCACTGCTGCCCAGCCGCCAGCCATCCGTTTGTGTTTTCTTGCAGGGAAGAGGAAACCAAATCCATTTTGTGGGCCCAGATTGCTATTTCGAAGCACACCCCTAGGACTTATCAGATGGTTTTGCGCTCAATCCTGTACCCCCAAGATTACATACCATCTAGCCACACAAGGATTTATACCCCAGTCTCCCCTAGGCGGGGTGGTTTGGGGATGGTGGGAACCATTGATTACCCAACCAGACCCGGGTTGATGTTTGTTGGGGAACCCCCGAAATGACTGGTGTCCTTTCGGTTTTCCCTTTACAACAAGCAAAAAAGGGCGCCCTCAAAAAGGACACACCCGAAAGGAGGTTGTGCCAACAGTGGCTGAGACATGGTAGGCAAGGCTGCGGTTCACCCTGGCAGTTTGATTTGCCAGACTTCACCATTGTCACCCTTTTGCCTTCGAGGCCCCTCATGATCCCCAATCCCCGCAAAGAAACTCAATGTTTGGAGGGGGCCAAAATCTGGCCATGTGATCCCACACGTGGCTTGCCTTGAGCAAGCCAAGTCCAACTGTAACTGACGCTAAAACGCTCGCATTTTTTGAGACACGGTGTCTTGTTTGGAGTTGATGCCCTTTACTTCCATTTGCTCAAGAATATTGTGTGTTTTTCCTGTTGGTTTTAAAGGGCATCTCACTACTGGGTTTTTTTCAGTGGACTTAAGCAAATGGAAGTCGATTTGCTTGCAAACTGAAAGCACCGTTTGGGGTCCCCATTTTTTTACGCCTAGACCTTGTCCGTTTTTCAGACTTGTGGCGCTTGGGAGTCTTGCCCTGAGGCTACATCACGGCTGCGAGCCAGGCCAAAGCTGCCCGGCAGATCCGCTTGAGCGCGTTACCCGCGCTCACTGGGTAAAACGAGGTCCGGTGCGGGACTTTTGGATCCGATTCTGCAGGTTTTGGAAGTGAACAAATCGCAGATTATTCACTGAACAACTGGGTGTGGGCTCCCAAATGGATATGATTTGCCAACAACATGGTTGTGGAAAAACGTTTGTTTGGGACGGCTTCTGTCATACCAAGGGAGACCCGCGAAACATACCTCCGAAACTCACCCTGATCCACACCTGCAATTTCCTGTACCGTGCCCGAAGCATACATCCAAAGCACACCTTTGAAACACACCTGCGAAACATACCCCAAGACCAACAGGCGCGGATTGATACGATATGATTTGAAATGTTTACACATGCATACATACATTATATATATATATATATATACTGTGCACTGTGTGGGTATTCCTGGGTGCGAGCGGGACCAGTGGATGAGTTTTCCCAGCTGGTTGTTTTTTTGGGAGCTGCTTTAATTCGAGATGAAACGCAGGGAACTTGCTACGTGTTGCTTTTCAGCAGAAGCAGGATTATGGTAGCATGTATGCAGGCCCCCCGCAACCTCCCACCCCGCAAAAACGAAACACGTCAAGTGGTTCGAACATGTTAAACAGGTTTTCCTGTGGAACTTCGATTGAAGATTCCACTGGGAAACTGTTCAGAGGTTCTATCCTGGTCAGCCCCCAAAGCTCACGCAGAACCGCAAAGGGTTTCAATAAATACTGTTCCCCGTCGATTGAAGGTTTTAGTTAGATTGCACAGCATTGCACAGATATTGTTGCAGAGATTCTCTGTAAGAATGCGCAACAGACCGTTTCCTGTGAACATTCCGCGGAAAACAGCTCAGATACGTTTTCAATCTTGCAACTTGGGCCAAAAGGGAACACATTTAAATCTCAACAAGTGTTTTTTTTTTTTTGGGGGGGGGGGCTGGCCAATGTTGATAAACATTTAGCAAGTTGTTTGCGGAATGATCCAATTTCAATCTTGAATCCAAAGGACAAATACGTCAAAGATGTTTGTTGTTGAATGCTATCCTATGTGGAGCGTTTCCCGCAAAATTGTCACTTTTATGATCCACTGGAGCCGGTACCACCGGTACTGCTCACGCCATGCCGTGGAGACCACAACAAGTCCGGCAATGATCCACTGGAGAAAACTCCAGGCTTTGTTGCTTTGCAAAGTTCAAAATGTTTTTAGGGGGCTTTGGGGGGCTGTTGACGATTAGGTTTCACGGTCAATTTTTGGCTAGGGTATCTTGGATCGACAAAGCCAAAGCTCCAATTCTAGAAGGTTGACTGACCATGAGGATGTGTTCCACTCCGCTTTGTCTTTGAGTTGCGGAGAGTAGCTGTGTAACGCGATTGGTTCTGTCTTTACTTTGCCCATTCGTCAGTGTTAAATCCTGTTTAAATGGGCTTCAGGAACCGCACACAGATATATCTTGTTTCAAGGGTATCCTCGAGGCAAGCTATTGAAAGGAAACGTTCCGGTTAAACGTCATTTTTTGGGTTGCTGATTCATCTTGAGTTTCCTTACACCCCTCTCCCTTAAAAGCCCCATAAAACCACACATCCACACCAAATAACTGGGTTAGTGCCCTTTCTCACACCTTTTTGGGTTGGGAGGATTCCCTGACTACAATACACAGAAAAAAACAGTTGGCACCCTTAAAAAAGCTGGTACCCTACTAAAATAAACAACTAAAATAGACAACTAACATAGACTAACCTCTCTACTTGAGGACCTAGATAAGCCAAAGAAACCAATGCAGCACCAAGGCCCGGCAGATTGTCCTGAACTTTGATGGCCGGCGCCTGGAGCGACTGGGACCTGGCCTGCTGCCGGAGAGCTGCTTGCGCCAGAATGTGAAGCTGGAATGGCTATGAATGGCGATTCAAGAATGTATATACGGACTATATGGATTGATTCATTGTTTGTATGTGATCAAATAGGACCATCATCATACTGATTGTATATGAGCAATATATCTACCCAAACAAAAGCAGGATTCATCGGACTATGTGGATTGATTAATTGTTGATATGGGATCAAATGGAATCTGTTTAGTGTAGTAGTGATATATGAGAGATATCCTTACCCCAACATTGGGGTAATACCCCAACATTGGGTTAACGTATTCGCAAAATCAAGGAACTAATACATACTTATATAAACATATATATGTATATATATATATAGTGTTTTCTTATAATTTTCCAGGCAAGGTAGTTCAGAGGTAGTTCATGGCGGGGGGGTGACCATATATATATATATATATGTAAACGAAACGGGATATGTAGCTGGAGCGCTGGAGTTGCGCGACTGGTGGAGTCCTGGTGGATCTTCGGGCCCAAGCAGTCGGCGGAAAATACGAGCAGAATAGCATCCTGTTGCGCACGCGCAAATGTCCAAACGCCTGAAAGTTATCGGATTGATTCATTCGTTCATTCATTCATTCATTCATTCATTCATTCATTCATTCATTCATTCATTCATTCATTCATTCATTCATTCATTCATTCATTCATTCATTCATTCATTCATTCATTCATTCATTCATTCATTCATTCATTCATTCATTCATTCATTCATTCATTCATTCATTCATTCATTCATTCATTCATTCATTCATTCATTCATTCATTCATTCATTCATTCATTCATTCATTCATTCATTCATTCATTCATTCATTCATTCATTCATTCATTCATTCATTCATTCATTCATTCATTCATTCATTCATTCATTCATTCATTCATTCATTCATTCATTTTCATTCATTCATTCATTCATTCATTCATTCATTCATTCATTCATTCATTCATGTTCACTTGTTCATTTGTTCATTTGTTTGTTTGTTCATTCATTCATGCATTCCGTTATTCAGTTATTCAGTTTTTCTTTTGATGGATTGGATGGATGGCTGGATGGATGGACAGATGGACGGACGGATGGACGGACGGATGGATGGATGGATTGAATGTTTTGACTGACTGATTGATTGATTGATTGATTGCTTGGTTGGTTGATTGAGTGATTGGTTGATTGATTGACTGATTGGTTGATTCATTGATTGATTGATTGATTGATTGATTGATTGATTGATTGATTGATTGATTGATTGATTGATTTGATTGATTGATTGATTGATTGATTGATTGATTGATTGATTGATTGATTGATTGATTGATTGATTGTTTGGTTGATTGAGGAGCTTGTTGTTCGTTGTTCATTGACATAGCCTTTGACAGAGTGGCTTGAATTGCGAACTTTTTATTCACACCCACAACATGACTTCCCTTGGCTCAAGCTATCGCGTCGTTGTGCATAGCAATGCTATTTGCGGCTGGCAGCGAGCCGCCTGCGACATGAGGAGTTTCCATTGGGGACAAAAGACGTGACAACAAAGGGCTCCCTTTGTTTTTCACTGGCTACTCCCAGTATGAAGTGGCTGTTCAAGCTACAAGCATATCTCGGACTCATAGACGATTCGACTTGGTGCTATAACTGGCACAAGTAGCTGCACGACAAATTGAGGATGCAGACATCAGAGCACACATACGCAACCCTACACAAGCAAGCAAAGCAGTAGACCTCGCCAGAGATTTACACTACATCCTCATCAACATATGTCAGGGAGCAGCAGCTACAGTAGTAAGGCAAAACCGCTACAACGCAAATTGATGTGAAACACTACGACTCCTGCGCAACAGGTTCAGCCTACCAGTAGGAACACGAAGCGTTGGCTACCTGACCAAACTACTGGAACCTACACTCAATAAAGCACAGTGCGAAGAGCAATTCCTACAATGGGAATACGACATCAACCGCTACGAGAAAGACAACGGCGCAGCACTACCAGATGTAGTACAAATTGCAATACTACTCAACAAAACCAAGGGAGCGCTGCAACAACATCTCCAACTGCGAGCTGGACAGATCACGAACTACAGCGAGATCAGAGCAGTCATCCTGGACTACTACAAGACGATCTCTGCTTTCTCAAGAGCGACTTCAGCTGTAGGCACAAACTACAATGGAGGACCTGCACCAATGAACGTTGACAACATTTGGAGGAAAGGCAGAAGCTACAAAGGAAAAGGCAAAGGCCGCTACAAAGGAAGCAAAGGCAAAGGCAAATACAGGAGCAATGGACACTACAAGGGATTTGACAGAGGCAACAAAGAAAGCTACAACACAGGAGGATACAACAAGAGCAAAGGAAAAGGCTACTCAGGACCCAAAGGCTATGGATCAAGCAAAGGCTACAAAGGCCAAGGAAACATGCCACCGATGTGGCAAGCCCGGCCATTGGGCCCAGGACTGCAGAGTGCCCGTGTGGCACATAGGAGAAGGAGAAGAACTACACACCAGACCAAGAACAAGCACATAAGGACAATAATGAAGAACTACCTCAGGATCTGAACGACACTTGGGACTGGCACTGCGAAGGAGAAGAATGACATGGACACATTGGAATGACAACAGCTACGAAGACACAGCAAACTACATTGGAGGCATCAGCGAGTCACACCTGACAAGCAAAGTCACCACCACACAAGCACAAATCCAAATCACTAGAAAGAAAGCATCACACACAACATCATGGCACGAGCAACACAAAAGCAAATAAACAAGAAGATTGAGGACACCATCACACACTACATCATGTACTCCAGCTTCAAGTCATACCACCACCTGCTGATCGACTCAGGAGCATCTACACATGTTTGCCCAATGGACTACGCACCAGATCTACCACTACGACCTTGTGGAGAGTCAGTTCCACAACTCTACACGGTTACCAACAAGAAGATCCCTGCCTACGGCATCAAGTATGTTCCCTACATGCAGGACAACTTCATCCACCCTCAGTGCGTCAAGACTACTTGATAGTGGATATGGACTTGACTTCAATCCACGACACTGCACCATCACACATGGACAACAACAAGCGCACCTCATCAGACACTCAGGACTCTTCTACCTACGAGCAGAAAAGATCGACATCCCCACAGGATTCGACATCTACCCAATGACTACAGACAATGGAAAATCCATTGCTGTGATTCAACCTACAGAGAAAGCAAAACAACAACAAGAACAAATTGCACCACTAACACACACAGACCAAGGATTGCGACAGATCCTTGGTGGAAACACTGACTGCTGCAAACTTGATGGTGACTACGCCACCGGAGTGCAAAAACGACCACGCACAGCACTTTTCACACCACACAACAGCGGCCGCCCAACACCAGAAGGAGAATTAGATGATTGGCGGCTAACCATCATCGACAGGCAAGGGCAAGAGCAAGAACAACTACAAGAGAACCCCAAACAACTTTCCAGACGAGAACTAGACTGGAGAAACCAGATTCAGAAGAAAGATAACACCTACACGCAGCGCAACACCAAAGACAACACCAGCAAGACAGAGCTCACAACCACAACAACTAACGGAGATACCACCGACAAAAAAAACAAAGATGCAACTACGAGCGCCACAAAATGTATGCAGACCCAAAGCAGCACCTTCTACAGACCTTGATACCACACAACCAAAGGCGACCATACACAGCACAAGAAGACAACCAAGACTACTGCGCGCTGGAACTGTGGCTGCTCGAACAACCAGTGCGTCAGCTGCAGTTGCAGATGAAACGATGGATGAACCGCGTGAATGCGCGAGCACACTTGTTGGCCTTTGGCGGCCGGGGCGAAGAAGGTTGCAGACCACGCGACTGTACACAAGGTGGTAAGCAAGCATTCTGATGAGCCTTTTACGCATCAGTTGTGCTGCTTGGTGTACTCCCCCACGGAGTAGCGTGGAGCCCGAAACACAGCAATTTCTAAAGGCGTCACGTTAAGTTTGCAGGAAAGTAGTGAGGGCAAGATCGCGCCCATTCTCTTGCCTGGTTTGGGAAGCGGAAAGGGCTGAAGTTCTGTGCATGCACACAAGTAAATGGGTGATGCACAGTCGAGTTCTGTTGTTGCGTGTGCTCACCGTGGCATGTCATTTGCCTCTTGAAGCTTTTCTGGCACAAGCCCATCAGTATTCCCTTCCCGTATTTCTGTGAAATATACGTGGTATGTTGCGGCTCTTTGCTTGTCTCGTGCTGACGAGTGTCCTAACCGTCGACGCCAAGCGCAGTGCCATTAAGCATTTGGCTGATGTCGAGAAGGACGCAGTTGCCGCGGCTGAAGTGTCGGAGAAGAAGATTGAAGAGCACGTGCTGGCAGACAAGGCCGGGAAGGGCCAACCTGCTGTTTCTGCATCAAAGCAGCTCTAGTTTTAAGAATTTGCTTTTGGCCTCCCTTAGCAGGGGCCAGGGTCTGGTTGTGTAAACAAATGCTGCAACCAACCTTCTCGCAGACGTCTGACAAGATGTCGGAGAAGCAGACTGCAGACCACGTGACAACGGACAAGGTGGTAAGCAAGCATTCTGATGCCTGGCTGACACTGCTCAAGTTTAGTTTGCTTCTTTTCTGTATCAGGCTTGCTGCTTGCTGCGATACTCCCCTGCACACTGGCATGGAGCCCAAAACACCGCATTTTCAACAGGAGTCTTCTTTTAGAGGAGTTCGCAATCTGTAGCGCTCACGTGATGAGAAACAGGCTAGCCCATGTCCAGTCTGATTGTTGGCTTGACCTGCACAGTGTTGACAGGCATGCTTGCCAATCTGTTAGGGGGGTGTTTAAACAACCTTCTTTAGCTTTCCCATAAGCGACTGGCGCTAAGGCGGCCGCCTCCAATGAGGAGGGATGCATGTGCCATCAGCACAAGATGTCTTGTGGCTGAGCCAGAATGGGGTCAGCTCATGTTTGTTTCTTGGTGCGGTTGATTTCAATCGGGTTGTTTGGTTTGCACATGCCGTTTTGTTTGTTTGTTTGTTTTGTTAAGATTTCATATGGAACGTTGTGATCCAACAGCCGGCCTCAGTGCCACTGGTTCCAGTCCCTTTTGAACAAATCCGGGCTCAGGGCTTAGGTCGGGTTCCCAATGAAGGGGGTAACGCTGAACTCCCATTTTGAGAACACTTGTTATTTTCCACTGTTGGTTTTACAAGGAAGCCATCACACATTTGTCAGGGCGACTGAGCAAATGGACGTCAAAGAAAGTGGTAACCCAAGATCCTTTGGCACTTCTTCCAACATATCTTTGAGTTGCATGTGGTGTTTTTTGTGAGATGTTCAGAATCAATCAATCCTTGTGCCAAACGGTGTTCGATCTTCTTGTCTTAGCCTTGCAGATCCCCAGCACGTTGTGATTGTTGGGTGTGTGTACTTGAATTCTCGCAGGGTTCGCGCACAGTTTTATTTCGTGAGACTCATATGAACAGCCACCTCGACAAGTTGCACAGTTCTCCCGGCATTTCGGAAAAACGGCTTGGTGGTTCGGGAGGCTGATTTCAGAAAAGGTGCCGGGGCAGGGGATACCACCCGAGCTTTTCGAGCTTTTCTTGGTGCGAAAAGGGAATTAGAACGACCCCAAACCATCCAACTGGTTCCCTTCAGGGACCTAAACCATCCAACTGGGCGGTTTCCTTGGCCTTCAAGGGCCCCTGTGGACCGGATTGTTTGGCTTCCTTCCATGTCACATTCCCTGCCTGCCCAGTTATCGCACCAGCAGCATCATCTGCGAGGTGGCATGATGCAAACGACCCCAACAAAACCATCCCACTCATAATTAGGTTTTTCTGCGGGCAACATATGGCAGCTGTCTAAAGGGACTGAATGTTGTCGAGCGCGCAGCCCGGGGGCTCAATCTGCGTAACAGGCGCAGCACTTTGGAAATTTCTGGGCAGGCGCAGTATTTCTGCATCTGGGTGTGTGTTTGCGTGGCAGGCGCAACATATGGCAGCTGTCTAAAGGGACTGGATGTTGTCGAGCGCGCGGCTCGCGACCTCAATCTGCGTGGCAGGCGCAGCACTTTGGAGATGGGGCATAGATTTCGTGGCAGGCGCAGTGTTTTCTGCATCTGGGTGTGTGTGTTTGCGTGGCAAAGGCAACACACGGCAGCTGTCTAAAGGGACTGGATGTTGTCGCATGACAGGCGCAGCACTTTGGATATGGTGCATAGATTTCGGGGCAGGCGCAGTATTTCTGCATCTGGGTGTGTGTTTATGTGGAAGGGGCAACCTGTGGCAGCTGTCTAAGAGGGTGGATGTTGTCGAGTGCACGGCCCAGGGGCTTAATCTGCGTGACAGGCACTCACTCCACTCCACTCCACTCCACTCCACTCCACTCCACTCCACCCCACTCCACTCCACTCCACTCCTCTCACTCTCACTCTCACTCTCACTCTCACACTCTCACTCTCACTCTCACTCTCACTCTCACTCTCACTCTCACTCTCACTCTCACCCACCCACTCGCTCACTCACTCAGTCACTCAGTCACTCGCTCACTCACTCACTCACGCACGCACTCACTCACTCACTCACTCACTCACTCACTCACTCACTCACTCACTCCCGCACTCGCGCACTCACGCACTCGCGAACTCGCGCACTCGCACGCAAGCACGCACGCACGCACTCACTCGCTCGCTCGCTCACTCACTCACTCACTTACTCACTCACTCATTCACTCATTCACTCATTCACTCATTCACTCATTCACTGCACGCATGCACGCACGCACGCACGCGCGCGCGCGCTCTCCACAGTCGTTCACAGTCACTCACACTCACTCACTTTCAGCCTCATCTGGGTGCGGCAGCATTTGCTTGTCATCGCTGCCGTCAGCCCAGCGCGGGACGGCTGCAGAGACCCAACACGAATCGCTCGTGAGAAAAGAAGTAGCGCTGCGACTGCCAGACATGTGTCAGACCGACAAAAGGTGACATGACAACAAAAACAGATGACGCGCCGCGCAGATTGACTCGCGCTCGCCGTATATCGCGGGATACCGTGCCTGTGTGTGTGTGTGTGTGTTTTCTACGGCTAGGCGTGGGGTTCTCCGGCTCTTTTTTGGGGCACCGAAGCCTGGGCTCATTCGCTGCTCAATTCTCGCACCCGCCGAGGTGGCAATTGGGGGTGGGGCAAATGGAACTGCGGCTGCGCGAACAACGTGTGCGTGGGCTGCCATTGCGACTGGTGAAGCCACCGGATGAACTCAAGATCGTCCCGGGCGTTTTTTGCCCACGAAGCCTCTTGGCTTGGCCAGGGCAAGCTCCCATGTTCGTGGGTCGAGTCAATATGTTTTTGTTATGTATATTTTAGGGTCGCTTCAATATGAAACAGAAGGTTTTGGGATACCCGGTTTGGTTCAGGATCAACATACAATCGAAAAGTCTGTGCCCTCGACCAAAACGATGGAAACGATCCCACGCAAAAGGGTGAAAGTTGACCAAGGAGTGTTGAACATCGAGGCTTTTTCTGGGTTTCAGTTCCGCTCCTTCCCATACACCGAGGCTCTGACGGGCTGGCGTGAGCTATACCCGCCTTGTCATGTCGGTTGCTGCATTTGCTGTGGATCACTTGAAATTTTCCCACAGAATGTTGGCGGCCCCTTTTACGCATGCCAAGTGCTCAGTTATGGCTTGGCCAAGGTTACATTGACTTCATTGGATGCTGTTTTGATGTGGGCAGAGGAAAGCAAAAGCAAACCGCCCACTACAACGTGGCGAGTGGCATGTGACTAACCTACCAATGTCGCTGCGTGGACGGCGCGTGTCTCCAGCGCAGCTGCAGGTGAACTGCCTGCGTCTCAGTTGACTCTTGAAAAGGAGCGGCGTGTTAGGGAGATAGGCGCACGCGAAAAGTGGCTGCGCAACCTGACCCAAATCCACAACCCTGTAGTTGCCCCCTGATAATTTTCGGAGTGCGGTTAGCCATGCCAATGGTTGCGACAAGCGCAAGCATGCTCTTTTCCCACAAGTGTAACAGCTTAAAGTGTTTGGCAGGGAACTTTCCGGTGAGCAGGGCGCTTTTCACATGCTGAAACTGCGAACAGTGCTGCATTCCCAGACCCATGCCACCCATGGCATTTGGCTCAAGTTCGTTATAGTAGCGTTGAGCTGTACAGCACTTCGCGCAGTCGTGGACACAAGGCAAAACAATCAGCGTGCTAATCGCGGTTTCAGTGGTACGTTGAGGTGGTACAAGCAACCACTGGTTTGCAATCAATTACCCTCGGTTTGTCAGGTTTTGGTTTTCAGCCGTAGGGGTTTTCCTGAAAGCATGGCGAAGGGTTCTTCCGTTGGATTCATGGGAGTTATCATCATGAAAGTCATTGCAAAGAGTTATCATAAACAGAGTCATTGCACAGAGTCATCAAAGAGTTATTGCAAAGAGTTTTCAATGCTCATGAGAGTCGCTTGCAATGCTCGTGAGAGTCACTGGCGAGGAGCAATGCTCATGAGAGTTCTCAATGAGAGGAGTTTTAAGAGCTCTTTCCTCTCTTCTTAGGGCGGCGGGGTAGGGTCGACAGCACTCTACGAAAATCAACCCTCTGCGGAGATCGGCGTGGTCGATGTTCAAAAACTGAGGACTTTTTACGATCTCTGATCTGTGCGCGCGGCCCTCTGCGGAGATCAGCGTGGTCGATGTTAAAAAACTGAGGACTTTTTACGATTTCCGATCTGCCCGCGCGACCCTCTGCGGAGATCGGCGTGGTCAAACTAAACTGAGGACTTTTCGACTCTTTTTGCGATTTCTGATCTGCCCGCGCGACCCTCTGCAGAGATCGACGTGGTCAAAATCAACTGAGGACTTTTTGCGATTTCTGCGGTTCCCGCGCCACCCTCTGCGGGGATCGTGCGTGTCGAAGCGCTCTCGCTGCGAACTGGTCTTTGGAAGTTGTTGCGTGGTTTGCGCGGCTGCTCTCGGAGTCGCGCGGTCGCGGGTTCGATCCGCGCCTGGTCGGCGGCAGCTTTTCTGGACAGAAATCGCAACTTTTGCACACAAACATAGTACGCGGAGTGCACTCCCGCGGCTCCGGCTGGAAAGTCGTAACCTTCAAGCACAAGCGTAGCACGCGGAGGGCACTCCCGCAGCTCCGGCTCAAAAATCGTCACTTTTTTGCACCAGCGTAGTACGCGGAGTATAATCCTGCAGCTCCGGCAGCGCTTGCACAGAGCAACTTGCACAGGAGCAATTTGCGCAGAGGACTTGCGCAGAGCAACTCGCGCAGAGCGTTTGCACAGGGCAACTTGCGCAGAGCAATTTGTACAGAGCAACTTGCGCAGAGCATTTGCACAAAGCAACTTGCACAGAGCAGCTTGTGCAGAGCAACTTTCGCAAAGCACTTGCGCAGAGCACCTTGCACAGAGCACATGCGCAACGCACTTGCACGGAGACTTCCGCAGAGCAACTTGCAGAGCAACTTTGGCAAAGCGCTTGCGCAGAGCGCCACAGAGAACTTGCGCAGAGCAACTTGCGCAGAGCAACGTGCACAAAGCGTTTGCACAGAGAAGCATGTACAGAGCACTTTGCACAGAGCAACTTGCGCAGAGCATTTGCACAAAGCAACTTGCACAGAGCTGCTTGCAAAGAGCAACCTGCGCAAAGCAACTTGCGCAGAGCACTTGCGCAGAGCAATTTGCACAGAGCACATGCGCAACGCACTTGCACGGAGACTTGCGCAGAGCAACTTGCAAAGCAACTTTTGCAAAGCACTTGCGCAGAGCACCTTGCACGGAGCACTTGCGCAGAGCAACTTGCGCACAGCAACTTGCGCAGAGCACTTGCGCAGAGCACTTGCGCAGAGCAACTTGCGCAGAGGAACTTGCGCAGAGAGACTTGCACAGAGCAACTTGCACAGAGCAACTTGCGCTGAGCATTTGCACAAAGCAACTTGCACAGAGCAGCTTGCGCAGAGCAACCTGCGCAAAGCAACTCGCACAGAGCACTTGCGCAGAGCAATTTGCACAGAGCACATGCGCCACGCACCTAGACTTGCGCAGAGCAACTTGCAGAGCAACTTTCGCAAAGCACTTGCGCAGAGCACCTTGCACAGAGCACTTGCACAGAGCAACTTGCGCACAGCAACTTGCGCAGAGCACTTGCACAGAGCAGCTTGCGCAGAGCACTTGCGCAGAGCAACTTGCGCAGAGGAACTTGCACAGAGAGACTTGCACAGATCAACTTGCACAGAGAAGCATGTACAGAGCAGCTTGCGCAGAGCAAGTTGCACAGAGCCACTTGCAAAAAGCATTTGTGCAAAGCACGAGCACAAAGCACTTGCAGAAAGCACTTGCGCAGAGCAACTTGCGCAGAGCAACTCGCAAGCAGAGAAATTTGCAGACTCTCGCAGAGGAACTTGCGCAGAGCACTTGCGCAGAGGCGCTTGCGTAGTGCAACTTGCGCAGGGCAACTTGCACAGGGGACTTGCGAGGGCAACACGCGCAAGTAACTTGCACAAAGCACTTGCGCGGAGAAACGTGTGCAGTCTTGTACAGAGGATGCGTGGGAATGGTCGCGGGGTTGTGATGCTTTCGGGCCAACTGTGGTCTAGTTTCTCGCCCCAAGTTATTGGACCTAACATGCGATCGACGTTATCACTCTTTTCGAGACAATGTCCGGCGGAAATTCTTCAATTACGGATCGGCTGCGGCCCGTGCGATTGGTATGTTCTACTGGACATGGACGATACGCATTTCCAGGCCCGAAAACCCGGAAAGGGGATAGATCTCCCGAGACACACAGGCGAGGGTCCTGGAAATGCGCAGAAACAACTCGAAGAAGAACTGCGCAAGCAGACGTGGACACAAGAGGACATCTTGAAGCAGAAGTGGGATCGCTCAGAGAGAAGTTGCGATCTGATGAGATCAACATGCTGACCAGAATGAAGGGCGCCGAGACGTGGTGTGGAACAAGGATGCGCAAATACAAGCTTTGAGATCACAGGTGGAGGAAACATCTGAAGCGAGATCCAGAGAGGATTGGTTGCAGACTGCAAGGGTGTTGGCTACGGACGAAGTTGACGCTGCAAAGCTGGCCGTGGCAAAACAAAAAGCGCGGGCCCGCAAAAACCGGAAGACCAGTTTGCAGAATTACCGCTGCCGGTGGCTCAACTTGATCTCTCATGACCCTTGGTTTTCAACCCCAATTGTTTTCTTCGGGCTCCAAAAAAAGATCGCTTTCGCGCCTCCCGCTCCCCACAACGGGTTGCTCCCTTTTTTCGGGCCTTTTTTGGCGGAATGGTTCCGATTCCTTCAAACTCAGCTAACACAACAAGGGTACCCCTTCATTACCCCTGGCCACTGGGTATCTGAGGCTTGTGTCATTTGCGTTTTGAGCTTTTCCAGAAGTTGTCCTGTGGAATTTCTGCCATGGAAATTGTTCATTTGCAATTCTCGCTAATTTAGACTATTTAGAACTGTTCCTTTGGAATGTTGCCTTTGGAATTGTCCGCTTGCGATTCTCGCTAATTTGGAGTATTTAGAAGTGTTCCTTTGGGATGTTCCCTTTGGAATTGTCCATTTGCAATTCTCGCAAGTTTGGAGTATTTAGAACTGTTCCTTTGGAGCGTTCCCTTTGGAATTGTGCCCTTGGACTGCCATTGGGTTGATCCCGTTGAATTTTGCCCCTGGGAAAGGATTCTCCAGGGCCCTGGTTTTGGTTGAAATCGGAAAAGCCATGAAGCTGCCTTTCAGCGCTTTTTTAAGGGCGGCAATTTTCTGAACAAAACTCAGATACCCGCTGAACCTGAGCATCCGTTGAATATCAGTTGGCCTCGAACATGCCATCCGAAACGATCTCCACTGCTGTAACATGTCTGGTTCTTCCTGGAGAGGGCATGACGCACAGAGTGGTGCTGCAGTTCCGCGCATGCACACAAGTACATGGTTCAGGGTGCGCAGCGTGGCATGTCGTTTGCCGTTTGCCTCTTCAAGCTTTTCTGGCACAAGCCCATCAGGCCTCCCCGTACCACTGCGAAATTTTCGTGACATGTTGCGGCTCTTTGCTTGTCTTCTGCTGACGAATGTCTTCACCTTCAACGCCGAGCGCGCTGCCACTGAGCACTTGGCTGATGTCGAGACTGGCGCAGCTGCCGCGGCTGAAGTGTCGGAGAAGAAGATTGAAGAGCACGTGACGGCAGAGGCCGGGTGGGTGGTGCATCAAAGCACCTCTAGTTGTAAGACGCTGAGACCCTTGTACTGGGTAGACAAATGTTGCAACCAAGCCTGTCCCAGGCGTTTGACAAGGTGTTGAAGAAGGTTGCAGACCACGTGACTGCGGACAAGGTGGTCAGCAAGCATTCTGATGAATCTTTCTTGCATCAGCTTCGCTCCTCATGGGTTTTCCATTCTCTCCCTCTCTCCCTCTCTCTTCCTTGTGGCTTGTTCGCTTTTGCAGTACAGGAACAGTATGATTAATCTCTTGTATATCTTCATGTTTTACATATCTTGACTTTTTGTCAGCAATTGTTAGTTTGAGATATCAGGACCTTATGTTAAAGACCTTCCCGTTATTGCCTTTCTCTTTCTTGATTGCAGGGTCCTTTACCAATTAGCGCTACCTATCTCATTTGGCACACTCCTTTTACATGTTGAGTAACTCCAATTCTTCGATTGCAAGCTTGTCGCTCTTTTGCTGTAGGGAGGACCACCTACCAACCAGTGCCGGATGTTGTCCATGCCCGCAACCCTTTGGTTTCCCAAGCCCCGTCCATTCTCTTAATGTAGGGAAGTTGCGCTGCTCCCTGGCCTGAAGCACTGCGATGGTCCTGCCAATGTCGGGTCGCTTGCCTCAGGGAATAACAGGAGGAAACCACTACCCGCATAGCTGGCGAACCTGGTAGTGGTAGTTTCAATCATGCTTTTTAGCGGGTGGGGATTCTTTTCCTCTCTTTCTCCCTCTTGCTTCTTTTCCTCTCTCTATCTCATTTCTCTCTCCCTCTCTCTCTCTCTTCCTTGTAAATCGGACTGTTGTTTTACTACAAGTGCAAGTGCTGTAATGTTGTTAACACAAGCGAACCTGTAGTCTGCGCAACTATTTTGCATTGGCTCTGGATGTGGTAAAGAGCTCAAGGCCTGCGGCCATGTACAAGCTATGTAGCACAACACCGCATGTACATTGACAGGGTCCCTCAGTCAAAAGATCTTGTAGTATCCTGAAGTGGAAATGTCAGTAGTTGACAGTAGTGATGAAAACAGATGTTGTTCATCCATGCTATTGTCGTGAGAAGGAAAGAGGTGTAGTCCTCAGTACCTCTCGCTGTTCAGGATTCAGTTTCTGATGTAGTCGAACTGAACGGAGTTCGAGAGGTAGTGTGATGTTGTAGCCCAGCATGTAGTTTCATGCATAGTCCAGGATTTCCTAACCTGAGCCCCGTGTTCTGGTGTAGTGATTCGTAGTTGCCTGAGGGTGTGTAGTAGCTGGGAGTGTAGTGCATCTGAACCATGGGCGTTGGTCGGGAGGTAGTATTTGTGGTGGTTGGAGTTGTAGTTGATGAGTTGTGCGGCCTGGTAGTAGTTGCTCATGATGGAGGTGGAGTGGCTGATGTAGTCCCTGATGGAGTAATCGAGGGAGTTGTCTTTGAGTAGTTGCTGCATGTAATCCGTGGGTAGTGCAATGGTGACAAGGACGTAGTCGTTGATGTGGTTTGTAGTTGTGTGTAGTTCTGTCAGGCTGTAGTGGTGCCACAGGTGAGCATTTGCAGCAGAGTGCATCATGTGTAGTCGGTTGTAGGCTGGTTCGTGGAGTTTGCCTGGTAGTGAGCGCAGTGGGTGGAAAGGTGTAGCTGGCTCTGCAGTGGCTGTGGCGCAGGTCCTAAACTTCATGTAGCCTCATTTGATTTGAGTCATGCTTCGTTTCTTCCAGTAGTTGCGTTTCGTCATACCCTTCGTTGTCCAAGATTATGGGTTGGTCTTCTGAGGTGTCGTCGTTTGTGTAGGAGGTGATGGATGTTCCGTTGGACAGTGTTACTGCGTTAATCTTTTGTCGTAGTGATTCTGGTTCTTTGGTTGCTTCTTCAGGTGATTGCTTTTATCTTCTGCTTTGACAATGCGTATTTGTCCAAGAAGTGTTTTGTGTAGTCGCTCAACGCTTCCTTGACTGTTGCTGCTGCAGGAAGGTGCGTGTCGCACAGTCATTGAGCCAACTTTGCTTTTAGAAGTGCGTTGAGAGTGTCCTCGTTGTCGCTTTGTAGTATGCCTTGCGTTCTTTCGCACTCAAGAATGAATGCTTGTAGGTTGTTGACAATGTAGTCCATCATTGTCCGGAACCAGTACCGCCGTACACGGTTGTGTAGTAACATCAACTGCTGTTAAGACTGGTATGGTCTTTGGGTCTTGTTGTGATTTGATGTAGGCAAAGTCTACTTGAACGATGGGTTGTCGTGATTGTTGTTTCTTGTGGTGTCTTGGCGTCCTTTGCCTTGCACGCAAATGGGACACCAATTTCTGTTTGGTAGGTGTGTGAGGTTGTGTTCTGCTATTTGTTGTGGAGTTGGTTGTCGTGGTTGTCGTAGTCCTCTTGCTTTGTGTGGTGAACCTTGTTGTGCCTTTGTATTGGAACGGTAGTGCTGCATTGCCGATGACTGTCCAGTCATCTTTGCGTTGTGAAACTTGTTCAAAGTTGTTTTTGGTGATTGTAGTTCTGTGAGGTTCGAGTGTGTTGTTCAGTGGATGTCCTCGTCCATCTGTGGGAGTGAACAATGTAGTTCTAAATGTAGTTCTAAGTGATATGTGGTGTCTTAACCATTGTTCACCTTGTCTTTCCCAGTAGTCTTGGTTGTCTTCTTGTGCTGTGAGTGTGGTCTATGTTTTAGGACTGCCTTTGATTGTGTGGTATCAAGGTCTGTAGAGAGGTGTGATCTTTCTTCTGAATCTGGTTTCTTTTGTCCAGTTGTCACCTTCGAGTCTTCTTTGTAGTTCTTGCTTGGAAAGTTGTTTGGTGTTCTCTTGTAGTTGTTCTTGCTCTTGCCCTTGTCTGTTGATGATGGTTAGTCGCCCATCATGTAGTTCTTCTGGTGTTGGGCAGCTGAACCCTGATGTCGTAGTCGCCATCGAGTTTCCAGCAGTCAGTATTTCCACCAAGGATTTCTCGTAGTCCTTGGTCTGTGTGTGTGTGTGTTAGTGGTGCATGTTGTTCTTGTTGTTGTTTTGCTTTCTCTGTAGGTTGAATCACAGCAATGGATTGGATAGATGTCGTAGTCGCTGGGTAGATGTCGTGTCCGGTAGGGATGTCGATCTTTTCTGCTCGTAGGTAGAAGATTCCTGAGTGTCTGATGAGGCGCGCTTGTTGTTGTCCATGTGTGTTGGTGCAGTGTTGCGGGTTGAAGTCGAGTGCGTAGTAGGGAATCATGATTCTGAAGATGTCCTGCTTGTGGGGAACATACTTGACGCCGTAGACAGGGATCTTCTTGTTGGAAACCGTGCAGAGTTGCGGAACTGATTCTCCACAAGGTCGTAGTGATAGATCCGGTGCGTCTTTGGGCAAACATGTGTAGATGCTCCTGGGTCGATCAGCAGGTGGTGGTATGACTTGAAGTTGGAGCACATGATGTAGTTTTGGAGTACATGATGTAGTGTGTGATGTTGTCATCAATATTCTTTTGTCTTTGCTTTTGTGTTGCTGCTGCTTTGTCGAAGTGCAGTTGTGTTGTGTCCTCTTGTAGGAATTGTTGAAAGCTTTTACTGTGGTCGTTCCATGATGTTGTGTGTGTGATGCTTTCTTTCCAGGTGGTGATTTGTGTTTGTGCTTGCATGGTAGTGACTCTGATTGCCTGATGTGTCCAATTGTGAGGTGTGACCCGTTGATGCCCCCAATGTAGTTTGCTGCATCTTCATAGCTGTTGTCATTCCAATCCCATTTGTTGTCGTAGTCATAGTCGTTCCAACCCTTCTCCATGTGGTTGACACCGTGTCCATGCCGTTCTTCTCCTTCGTAGTACCAGTCCCAGGATCCTGAAATAGTTCCTCCTTGTTGTCCTTTTCTGCTTGCTCTTGGTCTGGCGCATGTAGTTCTTCTCTTTCTCCAATGGCCAGGTTTGCCACACCTATGGCATGTCATGTAGTTGCTGCTTCCTTTTGATTTGCTGTAGTTTCCTTGGCCTTTGTAGCCTTTGCCTGACCCATAGCCTTTGGATCATGAGTAGCCTGTTCCTTCGCTTTTGTTGTGTCCTCCTTTGTTGTAGCTTCCTTTGTTGCCTTTGTCAAAGCCTTTGTAGTATCCTTTGCTTCTGTACTTGCCTTCGCCTTTGTTTCCTTTGTAGTGGCCTTTGCCTTTTCCTTTGCCTTTGTAGTTTCTTCCTTCGCTCCAAATGTTGTCAACTGGTGCAGGTCCTCCATGGAAGTTTGTGCAAACAGCTGAAGTCGCTCTTGAGAAAGCAGAGATCGTCTTGTAGTAGTCCAGGATGACTGCTCTGATCTCGTTGTAGTTTGTGATCTGTCCAGCTAGTAGTTGGAGATGTTGTTGCAGTGCTCCTTTGGTCTTGTTGAGTAGTATCGCAAGCCTTACTCCATCTGGTAGTGCTGCGCCGTTGCCTTTCTCGTAGCGGTTGATGTCATATTCCCATGATAGGAATCGCTCTTCGAACTGTGCTTCATGGAATGTAGGTTCCAGTAGTTTGGTAAGGTAGCCAACGCTTCGTGTTCCTACTGGTAGGCTGAACCTGTTGCGCAAGAGTCGTAGTGTTTCACATCCATTTGCGTTGAAGCGGTTTTGCTTTACTACTGTAGCTGCCACTCCCTGACATATGTTGATGAGAATTTAGTGTAGATCTTTGGCAAGGTCTACTGCTTTGCTTGCTTGTGTAGGGTCGCGTGTGTGTGCTCTGATTTCTGCATCCTCAACTTGTCGTGTATCTACTTGTGCAAGTTGTAGCACAAGGTCGAAGTCTCGGTCTATGAGTGTGAGTTACGCTTGTAGCTTGAAAGGCCATTCTTCATACTGGGCTTAGTCGAAGAAAGGTGTTGGCAGTTTGTACTTGTGTAGTCTCTGAACGTCGTTGTCTTGCTCCTGTGTTGCTCCTGCTCCCGTAGTCGTGGCTCCTACTGTTTCTGCTGTTGCTGGCCCATTCTCTGTTCCTGTAGTTTGCTGTGCTGATGCTGATGCTGCTCCTCCTGACTTGCCGTAGTAGTTTGGCATGTGATTGCCGGTGCAGTTGTTGTTGTACTTACTGCTGTGTACTGGAGCTCCCCTATGTCCCCCACGTTAAAATCGGACTGTTGTTTTACTACAAGTGCAAGTGCTGTAATGTTGTTAACACAAACGAACCTGCTGCACAGCTCCTATTTTGCATGGGCTCTGGATGTAGTAAAGAGCTCAGGCCTGCGGTCATGTACAAGCTATGTAGTACAACACCGCATGTACATTGACATTCCTCTTCTTCGCTCTCTCTCTCTCTCTGGCTATGTTGTTTCATTTTTAAGCTTTTAGTTGCGCACATTGGTTGATTTATTAAATTAGCTATTTATTTGGGGTTCATTTAACAGAGTCGGTTGGACATGTTCTGTTTTCGTTCAACCATTTTCTTGTGCCGTTCATCAAAGAGTCGAATATTCACATGGTCACATGGTGGTGCGAGCATCGTTGGGTATGTTGTGTCGCAGTGTGCGCGGCTCGTGGGTTGCGAAACCTGGATGTTCCATCAAGCTTTTCAATCTCAGTTTGAAGGGTTGACGCGGTGTTGGCACAATGGGCTTCCAGTTGCAGATAAGCGAAACAACCTTTGCAGCAGTTCTTGCGTCGGTACTCAGAAGCCGAGCCTGTGGAGACGTGGCGCTGCCTTCTCATTGTGCCATTGTCGCCCAACAAACGCAACACAATGACTCGGAACCTTGCAACACAGCTGCGCAGTGTACGCTGTTCATATTGAATGTCAGAGGTGGACGCTTGCAGCCCGGAGGCCACCAAAGCATTTTGTCAAGAAGCCGTCTGAAGCTAGCCAGTCTTTTCGCAGGTTGGCTGACCGCGCGCAAAGGTGGCGAGGCTGCTGTAGAAACAAGCAGCCGCCGCCACGCATATGCATATTGACCGCTTTGGTGCGGCAGGCCTCGGTTCAGTGCCCTGAAGGCATTTGCCCCCCCCCCTTAAACAGTCAGGAGCGCTTCCGACTGCTGTAAGCAACCCCCTGACATTGCTAAATGCACCCGACCCATTGATCGCATGGGCGTGCTTACAGCAGTCCGCAGCGCTTGCTGTTTAGGGGGAGGGGCGCGGACGCCCTCCCGTTGACACAGTGATTGTCTTAAACGCTGGCCCACTTCCACTTTCAAATGCCAAATCTTCAACAATTGTGCTTGCAGCATTCGGCAGCGCTCCTGACTGTTTAAGGGGCGGGGACAAATGCCTTCAGGAATTTCAGGGCACTGCACCGAGGCCCGCCGCACCAAAGCGGTCAATATCAATTTGCGTGGCGGCGGCTGTTTCTGCCTACGCCCATAGACTTGTTTCTACAGCGGCCTCGCCACCTTTGCGCGCGGTCAGTCAACCTGCGAAAAGACTGGCTAGCTTCAGACAGCGTCTTGACAAAATGCCTTCTTTGTGGCTCCGGGCTGCAAGCGTCCACTTAAGACATTCAATATGAACAGCGTACACTGCGCAGCTGTGTTGGAAGGTTCCGAGTCATTGTGTTGCGTTTGTTAGGCGACAATAGCACACAATCTGTTTTGTTGTTCCAAGTGTTTTTTTTGATTCGTTTTTTTTTTTTTTTAGGTTATGGCTGTTTTTGTTGATTGATGTATGCCTTTTCAAATGCATTTATATGTCTCTGTCTTTTTCTGTATTTAGTTATTTGTTCGGTTTCTGTCTTTCTTTCCATCGTTCTCGCATTCTCTCGCTCTCTTTCTCTCCCTATATTGTTTATTTTGGTTGTTTTGTGCCGCTTTCTTGTGGTCGTCCTTTTTCGTGTGTTCTTGCTCTTTCTTTGTCTCTATTTCTCTCTTCTTCTCTCTCTTTCTCTTTTTTATATTTTGTATTTATTTCTATCATTGTGTCTCTCTGTGTTATTTAGTCGTTCTCTCTCTCTCTCTCTGTGGCTGCCTTTTTCTCTTTATGATTCTTGTTCAATCAACCTTCGTTAGCTTCCCTACTTATGGAGAGCAAGTCTCCCCCTGCTTTAACCACGGGTTGAAACCCTTCTGTTGAAATAGGTTTCTTAGCTTTCCTTTTTATGCTCCATCCTTTTTAAGCTATGGTTTAAGCCACTATTGCTGAAACACTTTCTTTGGCTTCCCTTTTGGGGCGGGCGAGCCCTTTTTGAGATGGAATAAGTCACTGTTGTTTAAACAGCCTTCTTTAGCTTCCTCTTTCAGGGCAATTCGCCCCATTGTTTAGTCATGGCTTAAACTACTATCATAGGTGTCCTTTTTGGTTGTTTAAGTAGAACTTGAACTGTAAAATAGCCCTGGCTTACCTGATAATTTGATCTTCTACCAGGGTTATATATGTCCCCTAAAAGGACACCTATGACCACAACTGTTGACTCACCTTTTTCGATCTTCCCCTCGGGGTCTTGCTCACACATTTGCTAAAAGCTACCGCGGCGCTCAGGAGGCTGCCTCCATTCTGAAGGGATGCTGCGCAAAATCCGGCGAATCTTGTGGCTGAGCCAGAATGGGGTCAGGTCATGTTTGTGTGCGAAACCGCTTTCACGGTGCGGTTGACTTCATTCAATCGAGTGGTCAGGTTCTTCTTGCAAAAGTGTGTGTGTTGTCTGAGACTTCAACTAGTTTGAAACAAAGTATAGGGCTCTGACATGTGGTCCTGGAACACCCTCAACTATGCTGGGCATTCTTCCGCTCGTTTCTCATGTCCTCAAGATCGCCAATTGACTCTCATAATGTTGACCCCAGATTAATAAACCCCTGTTGATTCACTGGGGGTTGTCCCTTTCTCGCGACGGTTCGCAACTTTTGGAGGAAACACACCGCAATCAATCAGACGGGTCTTTAACCCATGTTTCTGAGAACGCAACTGGGCAGGGCCAACCGGGGAAACGGCTCAAGGAGTCAAACCTTTAAAGTACTGACTGCCTTCTTTGTTGAGATGTTCAAAGTCAGTGAATCCGTGTGCCAAATGGTGTTTGGTCCGGGTATGGCTCAAAATTCAAGAGCCGGGGTTACGCTGGTTTATCTACCAAGAGGCCAGTTTGGGTACCACGAATCCTCTTGTCGTGGCGTCCAAGTACAGATGACAGCCTAGCCTTGCCGGATCCCGGCACGCTGAAGGCAGTCTGATTCTTCGGGGTGTGTGTTTGATCTCTCGCAGGCAAGGGCCAACCGTTTTGCTTGGTGATGCTCATTTGGGTATGGTTTTGCTTTGTAGAATTGTCACCTGAATAAGTTAAACCATACCCAAATAATTTTGCCAGTCATTTCCTGACATTTGCTTATGGTCCCTGAAGAAGTTAAGCAAATTTCCTAGGCATTTCTTGAGAGCAAAAGGGGCTGTCAGCCGGGCCCATGTCCAATCAAGACTCATAACCCCGGAGTAACTCTGGTTGATAGACTTGCCCAAAAGCGAATCGACCTTTTCACCTTTTGATTTCCCTTTGTTGTCCAATTTTAGTCATGGCAACCTTTCAATTTTGGGCCCTTTGGGCAAGCGAGCTTGCAGTGATTCACTTTTGGAGCGGTTTTTTCCTTACTTGTTGATAGAACCGGTTGGTTAGTTAGTAGGATCCAGCACTAGCTGGGTGGTTTATTCCAGATGCCGGCTTCTCCATTCGAAATGGGTGGCATTTGGGAATCCCGGGTTGTCCTTTGGGTTCCTTCTCGGTGGATCCCTGTTACAAATATAGTGGGCAACCAGAAATTGTCCCATTGGTTTTTGAAGGGTGGTTCCCTTGCTTGCCTACTATACAGGTAAATGGATCCACCGGGCTTGTAAAAAAACCACGGCAAAGTGCGTGGAGCCAAGATCAAGACAGCAGCCCAGGCGGCCGGAGGAAATCCTGGAAATGTTACTGCAAGGACGGCGAGTGTGAGCGCTGCAGCTGCGTCTGAACTGCCATTGCGTCTCGGCATCTTGAAAAGGAGCGGCATGTTGGGGAGATAGGCGCATGCGAAAAGTGGCTTTACAACCTGGCCCGAATCCACAGCCCTGCAGCCTGATATTTTGTGTTGGAGGGCGGCTTGCCAATGGTTGCCACAAGCGCAAGCATGTTCTTTTCCCATAAGTGTAACAGCTTAGAGTGTTTGGCAGGGAACTTTCCGGTCCGGCAGCTGAGCAGGGCGCTTTTCCCATGCCGAAAAATTGCTCCAAAACGCGGGAAATACTGAGAAGCCAGGCCCCAAGTATCAGACGGATCAACTGCCAGTGCGTCTCACTCACGAAAATTGGAGCGTCGTGGGGAGACCGGCCAACCAGGCGCTGTGCGAAAACCAGCGACGAAAGCCAGCAGAAGATGCGCGGGTTAGCCCCATGTGAGTGGCCAGGAAAAGGCGTGGAAAAATGTGAAGGGCGGGAAAGGAACGCGCGTCGTGCACCTGGAAATCGGTTCGTTTCTGCACCTGATGTTGTTCAAATTATGCAGAGGTTACATGGTTCCTGGAGGCTTTGATGCTTCGAGTCTTTCTCATTGGCTCCCAGGCGCATGTCTGTAAGTTTCGGGGTGCGAGATTGAAAGGAGGGAACAGCAGCCTCTTCCATCCATCATTAACCCTAAACCCTGAAACCTAAACTCATGACCGAAACCCAAAAGCCTAAGCCCGTAACCCAAACCCAAAAACCTAACGCCTAACGAGATGTGAGCAAAACCCAACAGCCTAAACCCCAAACCCAAAAGCCTAAAACCTAAAACCGAACGTGAGGCAAGCCAAACCCTAAGCCCAAAAAACAAAAACCTAAAGCGATCTAAGCCAATCCCAAAAGCCTAAACCCTAAACCCAAATCCAGAACCCTAAAACCTACAGTGTTGCGAGCCAAGCCCAAAAGCCTAACTCCTCAAACGATGTGAGCCAAACCCAGAAGCCTAAACCCTAAGCCCTGAAACCTAAAGTCACGTGAGCAATCCTAAAGCGATGTGATCCATCTGTAAGAAAAATGCGCGGCGCTGGGGAAACAGGGCAGTCAGGTGCGTGGAGGAACGGAATTCTCGGTGCGCGGTTGACCCTCATTCGCTACATGCGCAGATGAACTGAATTTCAGGTGCGTAGATGAACCCAGTTCCGACAGGAAATCACATACCACCATGCGCAGCAAGACGTGCCAAAAATCATTAGACACGATGGCTTTGGGTGCTTCTCAGCCCGACATCAAGTTTGACGCTCGCCCTAAGGCTCGAGACACCTCCAATGCAGGCCCCCAGGCCCTCCAAGGCAAAACCCAGACCCACTCAGGGGCCCTTGAAATCAACCCAACAAAAATGCCGTTTTTGATTGGACCCCCCCGAAACTGGCGGTTTCACTGTTGGTTGCCCTTTGAAACCACAAAAAAAAGCACGGAGCGTTTGGGCTCTGGTTGGGGAATCGCTGGGGTGGGTCCAGACCTTCGAACGAGAACTTGAATCCGATTCGTTTTCCCTCCTCCATTCCCACGAGACGCGGGCGGAGATCAAGCACATGATGCTGAACCCTCGACAGGCGCGGCGCGCCATACTGGATGGATTTTCTGGGTTCAAGTAGGGAACAAGCCCCTCTAAACTCCCACAAATGTTGGACACGTTTTAGTGCCAGTAGCCTGTATTGTGTAAAGTGTTTTTCCTAATTCAGGATCGTTGGACTGGTTTGGGGACTGGTCACACTGTCGGGGGGGCATTAAAGCAGGTCCAACATTACCGTAGTTGGGCTGAAGGGCCTTGGGTTCATGTCCAAATCCCTTTCCTTGCTCAAGCCTTCGATGCCCCTCCCACTGAAAGTTGGTGCACAAATCCCGCCTGGCGCGCTGCCGTGTCTGTTTGTGGGAGGGCAGCTTTGTCGTTGGAGTTGATACCCTTCTCGGCTTGGCCTGCATCGGTGTGTCAACATGACCACTAGTAGTTGCTGCGGCTCGCTTTTTACTCAAATGAAGTAAAATCACATTGAGCGTGGTGCATTGTTTCCGTGTATCAGTTCTTTCAGTTTGGCTTGGATGACTTTGGTGGCCAACAAAGATCCTCAAGATGATCCGTGAGTGTATCGTTTATGAAGACGGTGCGCCTGAAAAATTGCCAGGGGATGCTCTCCTTTTAGCCGTGCAAAGAGATATGAATCCTGACACAGTACCTAGTGCATATCGCATATGCATGGAGCGGGTGTCCGCGATTCAAATCACAGCTGAGGGGCAACGGTTCAAATCAAGAAGCCCACTGCTTGGGGAAGCAATCAGAGAGATGCTTTTCGCCCCTTGAAGCACACCCAAAAAGAAGCGGCCGAAACGAAACTGAGGGTTTTGTTTTACAGGGGCACCGCCACAAAATGAGTCGCGATCAAAACCCGGGGATTGATGAAGGTTAGTACGGGACAATCCCAACCATAAATAGCTGCGGATCTCCGCCTTCTTAGTTCTTTACAGTAGTTACATCGTTCTGGGTCGACCATTTTAATACCGGGTTTTGGTTATGACTCAAATGGGTGCCCTTTCTTTTAAGGTACCCCTTTTTTTGGTGCTAAAGAGCCAAAAGGACCCCACCCCGAGGGACAAGGACAGGCCGGTGGGTTTCCCTTAGGCGAGGATGTGGGCGGGTTTTGTTTTGGGCGTTGGTACCCCATTGTGTTGTAGTTTTAAAGGGAAAGCGAAAGGAAACTCGTTTTCCCCATGTTGGGGGGCTCCAAACTTTTGCATCAAAGCTCGTGTTTTAAAGGTTGGAGCCCGCTTTGGTTTCCATTTGAAGCAACTTTAAAGAGGGTACCCTCGAAAAACACACGCCCATTTTTGAGAAGCACCAGCTCGCTCCGATTGCTGGAGGTGGTGTCGCCGCAGGGCAACACCTGTGATGGGCGTTGTGCAGGACAAGTACCGCTCAAATCAGTGCTAGGTCCCCCAGCAGTGCCCTTTTACCCTTTTTGGGGGGAGGCTTCCCCTACTCAAATAGACTGCAGAAAAAACCTCACCGGGTACCCTTATTCTAACTTCTCTACTGGACCTCGAGTGAAGCTCAAGGGCCGGAAAGCCTCACTTGGCTCCGAGCCGCTGGCTCAAAACCCAGGTAAGGAAAGATGCCTGGGCTGTGCTGGTTTCTGGATGACTTTCCCTGGCGTGTTTGCCGCATGTTTTATATATATATATATATGTTTCCCTACTGTGGATGGACAACGTCCTGCGCCAGCTGACAAACCCTGGAACAATGATTTCCCTGTAAATACCGACAAGCGCTTTTGTTTCATTCCCATGGTTTCATTTCGTGGTGCGAAATGGATTCCGCAACCATCCACAGTTAGTGACAATGCCCTTGGCACAAGTGGCTGCCTTTGCCATGTTTTTACTTCTTTACATAGGATTGCCCATTTTGGAGCGTTCAATTAACCAACCCAAGAACCACCTTACCCTGAATAAGCAACTTGGATCCACCACCCACCCTTTCCACCCACATGAACCCACCCTTTTCCAAACTTCAGTCAGCCCTAAGCCCAGCCTGCACAAACCGCAGCCAGCCCCGAGATCAACTGAACCCACCCTTCCCATCCGAAACGAATCCCAAGCCCACCTAACCCCGCCAACCCACCCTAAACCAACCCTAAACCAACCCCAAATCCAAAACCACCTCCAAACCAACCCAACCCTACACCGTTGCTTAGTGAAATTGCAGAAGGCTTCGGCCACAGGGTTGGCAAAGAAGGGACGGAGGGCTAAAAGGAAACGGTGGAGGATCAGAAAGAATGGGGGGAGGGTTAAAAAGAAGGGGGGAAGGTTAAAAAGAAGGGGGCAGGGTTAAATAGAAAGGGTGAAGGGTTAACAAAAACAGGCAAGGCTTGAAAAAAAGGTTTGGAGGGTGAAAAAGGTTCCCCGACAACAAACCTCAGGACAAAGGGGTTCCCGCTTGTGCCATGGTCAAGCGTTTGCGTGGGCCTGTGATTAGGAGATCTCGACTACCTTTTTGCGGATTTTCGGGAGACCATGACCACAAGTTTGGACCATGACCATGACCATGACCTTTTTTCTCGACTACCATTTTTAGGGTTTAATCTGCTTCTCACAGGCTGTGCTAGGCATCCTGTCCTCCAGATTGATTGGGCTACTGCAAAGCAGGATCTGGTAGCGTGTGTGAGGATGTACGATTGGAAGCTGCAAGCTTTAGTTGCTCCTTTTTTCTTATGTTTGTTCATGGCAAGTTGATGGCAGACACTTGGACAAGGTCTGTGGTGTTGGCAAAGCACGCTGGACAAATTGCGTCACATGGATGACTTCGCAAACTGCCTGCAACGCAGGACATTGCCCAGCCGCTGTTGCCGAAGCTGGAGATAGACCTGTGCATGGTTGGAACACCCTTCAAATGGCTGTTGGACATACATCCCCATTAGAGTTAGAAGGTAGCCTTCAATTTTTGGAGGAACACCTTCTTAAAAATGACCACGTTTTCTCTGGGTTTTCTCGTTGTTTGTTTTGTTTCCCTTCTAGAAATATTGATGGGCGAGCCGCGCACTTGCGAGCTCCGAAAGTTTGAGAGAGATCACGATTTGTTGACGAGCGCAACCAAGCTTCGACCCTGTCTTCCATTGCCTGTTTGACTAGCAACGTTCCGCTGCTAGGGCCTTGGCTTCATGACAGCGAACCCTGAAACCCTGCAAGTTTCGCCAACCTGGATCTTGGTTTGCTGCTTTGGACAACGCATGGGTTTGCATAATTTATGGCGGGCGCTGGTGGTAAAACGGGCTCTGGCAAAGATCCTTCAGGGATCCCTCAATTATTTCAGGTTTGGAATGATTGTAAAATTTGCAACTGAGATCCAAGAGGCCCCAGCCACATGATGCAACTTACGGCGCGTCAGAGAAGCAGAGAAGCAGGGATTGTTTTTGCTAACCGGGCAGCAGACTTGTCGGGGAACGGGTTCTGCTGACGCGCAGGTCATGTGGTTACGGCACATTTTCGCCTGGACACCCCTCAGGACACCCCTCAGAAAAAGAATGATGGATGTGAATCCCCGCCCAAAGGATGTCCACCAAATGGCCCCCTATTGGTGTGTGTGTGTGGGAGGCCTGAGCCCCGTCAAAACTGAGGACCGCTGGCATTGGCGCTGAACAGAACTTGGGGGATGAGCCCTTGGGGCCTGCCTTTGATTTGTCCGTCCTAGAAGTGGCCTCGCTAGCTTCGGAATTGTTTTGCTCTGATGAAGTTGGAGCATGTTAGCGACGGATACCTTGGGCGCAAGGCTTGCAGATGCCAAACAGCGCGTGCTGCCAGCGTTCCTCATAGCTTTGGTTGTCACAATGTTCTGAATTGATTATTGTTTCTCGAAGGGGAGACTACTACACGGACTCCGAAGACCTACTGTCAAACTTTTAAGCATCATAGTTGGTCAGAGGTTGGGGCAATGTGGTTTTGCCGGTGGGCTTGACATGCGTTTTTTTTGACGCAGCGGTTCGCAGCTTGAGCCTGACATGAGAGCCATGCCGTGTCTGCCGGCTGCCGCCGTGCAACTGGCAAAGCCAGGACAGCCGGTGGCCCTGCCCAGATCGCACGCGGTCTGGCGAAGTGTCAGACTGTCAGCGGTTCGCGGCTTGAAGCCACACCGTGTGTGTCTGCCGGCTGCCGCCGTGCAATTGGCAAAGCCAGGGTGCTGGGTCACATCGCACGCGGGTCTGACGAAGTGTCAGACTGTCAGCCTATGCCCAAGCCCTTATCCCCAACCCTGAGTCGTCCTGGCCGATGTGAAGTTGTCGTGACCGACTGCTCCAGCATCGACTGCTCCACTATCTGTCTCGTCCAGCAAGTTCTTGCATTCCGTCTCTCTTGCAACCTAACCAAAACTCGCGGTTAGCAGCGCATCAGCTGCAATCATCACACCCGCCGCTGCCAGAGCAAGAGTGCATGCGAGTGCCAAATGTTGACGGAGCAGAAATACTATCTCGACAAACCCCAGCTTAGATTCCTCTTGAGACTAACCCATTTACGGGCTTTCCGATCTTGCGAAGCCCTTCCCAAGACCATCCCAGTCAGCACTTTCACATGACTCAATCCATTCGCTGAATTCCCACCCTGGGCCCCGAAAAGTAAGGTGACTCCTTCGGTGGCTGTACCTTCAAAAGCCCAGCTACACCGAAGCTCAACCTGGGCATTGTGTGACATGCCCTGATGCGACTGCCCGCGAGCTAGGTGCCCGGCTCGCAGCGCTATGCGAGGGGCAGAGCGCCAGTCATTTCGTGGGGTTTTGCACTTTTTGTTGCGGCGCAGGTACCTGAACCTGTGCCAAGTTAGCGCTTGCACCCGTGACTTGTGTTGGCGCAAGGCCAGGAGGACCAACTTTCAGGCGCCAGCCCTAGACTCTCAAATGACCACTATGCCAATGCCAAATCCGATACGATGAAGTGATTAACATTTGATGGTTTCGACTCACCTTTCGGGAAATCGACGCACCAGCAAAGGCAATCGCACGCTGCGCGCGGAGAGTCCGGCAAACAAACATGTTCTTACTGTGAGAACCTGCCGTTCTTCTGAGCCTTTTGCTCCACACGAAATGCAAGTGTTTCTTTGCTTTGGGTCATAAGGGCCAGTGTGGCATCAATCACGGCGCAATTTTTACATAGGTTGCCCTTGGGCAAGGCACTTCCGGCATCTCTGGCTTTTCTCAGCGAGCTTCCTCACTCACCCATGCCGAAGGCGAAAAGTGCGCCAGCCAGGCAGCATAGGTTCTTGCTCCAGGCAGACTCGTGCTTGTTGGTCCTTTTTTGCCAGAGAGCAACACGCCTTTCGCCTCAATGAGTTTGCTGAATGCGCCTCAGGGTATGCTGCAGAAGCGCTATGCTGCAGAGCAGCTGGCGGGACTGACGTCGGGCTGGATGTGAGCAGTTTGCTTTGGCCAGATGGCAAGCTGTGTGCCTGGCGACCTTCTGCTCACAGCGCCCATGCCAGCCTGTAGCAACAGCAATGTGCTCAAAAGGAGCCGAGAGGCTTCGGGCAAGAGCTTGCGTCATGGGCTTTGGTCAAGCGGAGCTTGCGTCAGATGCAGCCTTGCGGCACGCCTGCCTTGACTCTGAACGTTGCAAGTGGAAGGCACAGGCCCAGAGCGCGCAGATGCTCCCCGCGGGCTTCAAGAATGAGCACGATGTCTGATGCCGAATGCGCGAAATTTGGGATGAACGCGAGGGGTCGCTTGGGTTTTGTCAACTTTGGAGCCTTCCTAATCTCGCTAATCTTCAAGTTTTGTCCGCCAGCGCAGCTTTGGCGCCTGGATCGGGGGGGTCCCAAGCCCTTTTTAGGTGTAGGCAAGTATGGCAGTCTGGCAGCCCCTCAGCTATCATGAGCAGAAAGCGCTTGCGGCTGGCTTCCCTAAGCAAGCTTCCTCACTCACTCGTGCCCAATTCGCAAAGTGCACCGGCAGGGCAGCATGGGTCCCTGCAGGCAGATTCGTGCTTGGTGGTCCTTTTTCGCCAGAAGCCAACCTGCCATAACCCGCCAATCGTTTTGCTCCTCCACTGATGTGGTCAAACGTGCCGTTGCCAGTGATGCGGAGATCGCTGCGCGTGCCCGCATCGGGGGAGACCGGATGTGAGCACCTGGTTTGTCCACATGCCAGCTATGTGCCTGGCAGCCATACAATTACTACTACTGGCATCAATTCTATATGGCTCAGGCGCCCTTCAGCTTCACGCAGCAGCCATACCAGCCTGAAGCAATGGCACTATGCCCAAAGGGCGCCGGGAAGTGGAGCCTGCAGTTTGTCAGAGCCAAGTTTCCGAGCACGTCCTCGGTTGCCTTTTGCTTTCTTGAGCCGGCGGAGCTGGCGGAGGCGTCTGCAGCCTCTGAGCGGCCCCGCTTTTCAGACGCTGAGCGTTGCATGCGGAACACACAGGCTGCTCAGTGCCCGCAAGGCCAGATGCTGCAAGCGGGCTGCAAGGATGCAAACCCGCATTGCGCTTGCGAGCAAGATGATGATGGATGCCTAGTGCCTGATGCTGCCTGGGAACGAGTTGCTTGGCTGAAGTATATACATGATGCAGCCTTTTTTTCAAGTTCCGCACGGGTCCAATTTTCTCCGAGGCTGGAGCTCGCGATCTCTTCTGTCTGGTGTCTGGTGCCAAGTGTGAGCTTTGAACATGCTGACGGGCCGAGCACCTTCTGTTCTGTTGGCAGGTCATCCCTTCTGTCTGGTGCCGAGCACCTTTGAGATTCAGGCGCTCAACAGATGCATGCGAGTTGATGGTTGCACCTAAACAGAACCTATCTTACGTGAGTTGGTTGTTCAAGAGTTTGGCCATGTTGGTCGGTCTGGACATTTGCTGCAAGGTACGAATGTTTGCACGCAAACAGAACCTATGTTTGTCTGTGGAAGTTTTGTCCGCTGCTGGCAGTTGGGGCACGTTGGGCAGTTGGAGCATCTGCGACAAGGTATGAGAAATGCAGCGAAGCGGATGTCGAGCGGCCTGGTGTAATGAGCTTGTGGCTTGTGTCCAGACACTGCAACGAGTCATTCTGGAGTTTAGAACAGACAGACACTTCGGGCTTTGGCTCTGCGACAGGCACGCCGTGAAGCTCGTCCAAGTTCAACCATAACACAGTCGGCTGAAGCTCGGAAATCGCGCCTTGCCCTTGGCTATGATCGAATTATTTTTCGGACACGCACGACGGGTCGCAAAAAGAGGCTGGGCGTTCAGGTACGCACATTGTGCGGAGACACAACTTCCGAGTGGCGCAGGACGAAAGGCAGCTTGAACATAAAATGGAGCAACATAGTCTTGAGCTGCGCAAGTCACAGAAGCGACATCAAGTTTTGTGGCGCATTCTGAACTGCTTCTGAACTGTCTCTATCTTTTACCTGCGGATGGTAGGCATGGGCATAGAGTACGGAGTTGAGTCAACCGTCACAGGGTTTCTGCGGGATCACCATGACTGTGATTCACAATTGCTGGAGTTTTTGTTTTTGACCATGGTCGCGGCATGAGTTTCAATTGCTTAGCCTTCTCTACAAAGGAAAATCGGTAAACAGAGAGTTGCAGAGAAGGAAGATTGGAGACTCCAGCCTGGGTGAGTTGTGTTTGGGTGAGCCAAGGCTGAATGCCCACATTCGTCCTGAGCTATTTGGACCATTATATAGGCGTATCGGCACTCGACAGATACTCTGCGACTCGATGGTTGCACTCAAACAGAGCCTATCTTCCGTGAGTTTGGTTGTGCAATATTTTGGCCATACTGGACTTCTGCTGCTTTGTGCATGAAGTTGGGGCATGTTGCTCGGTCTGAACATTTGCTGCAAGGTACGAATGTTTGCACGCAAGCAGAACCTATGTTTGTGGAAGTTTTGGCCGCTGCTGGCAGTTGGCGCACGTTGGGCAGTTGGAGCATCTGCGACAAGGTATGAGAAATGCAGCGGAGCGGATGTCGAGCGGCCTGGTGTAATGAGCTTGTGGCTTGTGTCCAGACACTGGTGCAACGATTCTGGAATTTAGAACAGACAGACACTTAGGGCCTTGGCTCTGCGACAGGCACGCCGCGAAGCTCGTCCAAGTTCAACCATAACACAGTCGGCTGAAGCTCAGAAATCGCGGCTTGCCCTTGGCTATGATCGAATTATTTTTTGGAAACGCAAAATGGGTTGCAAAACAGAAAGTAGCCTTTGCATCCAGCGTGGGCGCTCAGGTGCACACATTATGCGGAGACCAACATCCGGGTGGCGCAAGGTGAACGGCAGCTCGGATATGAAATCGAGTAGCATAGTCTTGTGGCGCCCAAATCAGAAACAACATTAAGTTTGTGGTGTGTTCTGAACTGCTTCTGAACTGTCCTGATTAAAAGACCCTTTTGCTTGCGGTCATGGGCCTCTGCATAAGGGGCCTTCTAAGGGAACCGCTAAAGGCCTTCTAAGGGAATTTCAATTGCCTCAAGGGGGGGAAGACTAGGAGTTGCACCCCCCGCTGGGTGAGCGAGTTGGGTAAAAACATCGGAAAGCTTTAGTGACTGCGCCGACTTTTGTCTCGTTGCAGTCGTGCACTTGCATGCCCTTAGGATGTGTCTAGCGGCGATGAGATGCGTATGCGCAACAGTCGCTCGGTTGACCGCTGCTTCAAAGAACATGTCTCGATGTCAAAATAGACAAGCCAGGGGACGGCCCCTTTCCCCTTCTTTTACGGGGGATGCTGTGCCTGTGCGTAATAACTTTACGTTTCAAAACACGTGTTTTATAAGAGGATGTCCACAATTGGCCTGTTTGCTGTGCAGGCGTTCATTATACGCAGCTGTCGAAGCGTGAAATCGGCAATCGGTATGAACCAGCGGGCCGGCGGAGGGAATTACCTCCGTGCCAAAGCGGTGGATGTTCGTATAGAAATGGGCGCTGATTGGATGCATTCGTCGAGCTCACCAACTCATGGTTTGTCTATGATATTTATTTACAGAAACCAATGCTGTGAGTGATGGGTTCTTAGGGGAGTCCTGCTCACGGTACATGAAAAATACAAAATCCTTAGGGAAATATATGGAAATATGTAGGAGTCCTTGGACCAACATAAACAAACCTCGAAGAAAACAGAAAAGCCCCTAAAAAAAATATTGAGGGAAATTCTCAGCCAGTATATAATCTCCAGATTTTTTGTTGGTTTGTGTATAGAAAACTTAAAAACCTCGTTGTTTTATTTTTTAATATGTTTAAATCCAACAAAAAGATGAGTTTTTATATTGATGTGGGTAAAAAATATAAAATCCATGAGAAAATAAACACACACACACACACACGGAAATATGTTGGATTGTTTAGCTAATATATATTTTTATTATTTTTTCTAAAAAATAGACTTTGTTAATTATTAGATATTTAATAAGAATATGGTTTGTATTATATTTATATTTGATAGATAGTATGATTATTTTTTGGTTTTAATAGGGTGGTTTGAAGGTTGTTTTGGAAAAAAATATGTATAGATGTTGTTTTAATATATATATATATATTAAATTAAAATTATACAATATATGTTGTTTAAAATAAACTATATTTGAATATGTATTCTTATTGAGGATTAAAATAAGTTTATATAGGATTTTGAATATATATATATATATATATATGTATATATTGAGAAATCACATAAATATATATTTACTCTATAAAACGAAGCCGTGAAACTTGCTCGTCGCACTTGCGCGCGATTTCCCGGACCGCTTTTCCGAAAAATCCCGGATATTTCGGAAAATTGGTCTGGACTGCCCCTGGAAGATGTAACCGCTTCATATTTCCTACGGACCGCTTGCGCAAATCTGTCCGGGCTACCCGGCATATGTGCGGAAGACATAATTGCTTCATTTTTTGTACGGACCCTTGTCCCGAAATATTCCAGATATTTCGGGAAAGCGGTCCGGGAATCTCAGCCATCCACCATTTTCTCGAAATACCCCGAATATTTCGGGGCTCATTTTCCCGAAATATTCCAAATATTTCGGCAAATGCTGTTGTCGAAATATCCGGAATATTTCGGAAAAATGGTCTGGAGTGCGACTATCGAAATATCCGGGATATGTCGGAAAAATGGTCCGGGCTTTGAACGAAGCCGTTGTGTCTTCCAGATAAAGAGTCGGGGCATACATCTGCCTGTCCGTAGCAATTTTGGCTGAAATCTTGGCCCATCTTCCGAGAGTTTGGCGATGCGAGAATCTGTGAGCCGCGGCCGATTGTTGCGACCAGTGGTGTTTTTCCCAATGCTTTGGGCGAAATCAGTTCGGCTTTGCTTGCACCCAGGATGTTTTCTGGTCGGTCGCGTTTTCGCTTGCGCTTGCAACAACTGCGTGTGTGGATCTTTTGAGGCCAACAGCCCGCGGATCCGTTCTCACCTTGCTCAGGCGACCGCCTTTCACTGACTCTTTGGCGTGACCTTATCGCGACCAGCCCGGCCCTCAGTGCGTCTCGCGTGTGTTTGGAGAACGGCAGCATGCTTTTCGCATGCGACGAGTATACATTTTTTGATACATATGGGATGAGAAAGATGCCTGAGTTGCAAAAAATGTCTCGCCGGCGCGGGCTCTATAAGATTTTCTTTGTTCTTGGCACACCCACCACGGCCTGGACCTTACCCCTAATTGCTGGTTTGGATTAGTGGTTTGGGGATTGAGCCCCTGGATCATGTTGAAGTTGAATGGGAAACCACCCCCTAACCTCCAAAACACCGATCCAAACTACCAATCCCAACCGGGCAAAGAGGCCGCCGAAAACCTGCAACCACCTCCTGGCCGCGGGCCAGAATACAGCCGTCGTGGAGGGCAAGGATAGCGGCGGGGCAGCGCCGAGACAAGCGCGTGGCAAACCGTTGCCAGGGGACAAGCGGCCAGCGGCCGCGTGCAACTGGGGCATGCGCAGCCGAGAGCTCACGCGCGCGTTCTTGCAGTCTGCATCACGGCTCTCGGGCTCGGAGTCGGACGCGTGCACGTGCGCAGGCGAAGCCTGTGGCATGTCGACATCAGAATCCGGCGCGCTGCGCGCCGGAGGCGTGTCTCTTTTTGTCTCTGTCTCTCTGTCGGTGTCTTTCTCTGTCTCTCTTTGTCTGTTGGTCTCTCTGTCTCTGGTATCTGTTTCTTTGTCTGTCTGTCTGTCTGTCTGTCTGTCTGTCTGTCTGTCTGTCTGTCTGTCTGTCTGTCTGTCTGTCTGTCTGTCTGTCTGTCTGTCTGTGTTTGTCTGTCTGTGGCTGTCTGTCTGTGGCTGTCTGTCTGTGTCTGTCCCTGTCTCTGTCTGTGTCTGTGCCTGTGTCTGTTTGTCTGCGTCTGTCTGTCTGTGTCTGTCTGTCTGTGTTTGTCTGTCTGTGTTTGTGCGTCTGTTTGTTTGTGTCTGTGTGTCTGTGTGTTTGTGTGTCTGTGCGTTTGTGTCTGTATGTCTATGTTTGTCTTTGTGTTTGTTTTTGTCTCTGTGTTTGTTTTTGTTTCTTGTTATTGTCTCTGTGTTTGTCTTTGTTTGTGTGTGTGTTTTGTTTTTGTTTTGTTTGTTTGTTGTTACAGATTAATGATAGGTGTTATTGGGATATGAAGTTTGAAAGTTTTGTGTTTATTGTTTTGGTTTTTGGATACATTATATGTTTTGTTTTGATGGAAAGATTTATGAAGGAATAACAAATATTGTTTTTAAAGGAATAGAATGATTTATTGTAAATTTGGAATCGAAAATTGTGTTTTTTTAATGTTTTTGAGCGAAAT